AGGCCGACCGACCCCCGGTAGGAGTTGTCACCCCGCTCTCGGGCAACCCCTCCGGGATGGACTGGCCCTGGGGCCCCGTCTCCGGCCCCAGCGCGGCCCTAACGGGCTCCGTGTGCTCTGCTCCCCCCCAAGCGCTGCATGGAGAGGCTGAGGAGCAGCCGGGCGAAGCTGCTGGACCGGTACCGCCAGGCCGGGGAGAGAGCGTGTGGCCCGGCCACGGGCGCGCTGCTGGTGCGGGAGGTGATGGAGCAGGAGTGGCAGGGGGGGCTGGGGGCCCCAACCCGGCGCAGGTCAGTACGGACAGTGCTCTTGGGCTGACGCCTTCTCCAGCACCCCTGCATCAACGCGCTGCCTGTCTAACGCGGGCGCATCAAGTGCAGCTCTGCGCAGCTGTAACTTCGGTCTGTCGCTGGTTGGAGTTGGCAAAACTCGGAGTGTCTGGGTTTCCCGCTTCTACAACTAGTGCAGGGCGTTGTGCTGTGAAAGTGCTTGCCTTTGGGCCCACGAGTGGGGAGCTTCCTTATTTCCTTCACAAACTGCGTGTGAATCATGGCAGAGGGCGGGTGGGTTCCTCATCTGTGGTTCTTAGAGCTGATTTGTCACCAATCACCCCTGGGAACGGGAATAAAACTTTAATTTTAAAAAGCAAGTTCTTGGACTTGATCCATTGTGGCTGGCTTTGCACAGGTGGCTATAGTATAGGTTGCTTTCCACAGTGCATGCTTTTGCACGTACAGAGATTTACCAGATAGAGTAAGCAGGGGCAGTTTGCGTTGCAGTGACAGCTCAGTCAGGTGCTGGAAGTTAAGTGAGAAAGTAGCCAGAATGGGAGAATTCCTGACTGATGCACCTTTCAGATGCTAGAGGACCCTGATGAGCTAGCAGTACTGGAAGAGATCCAACAGGAATTGATCTTGCAAGGTAACTTCTTTACATGTTTTCTGACTCCTATTTGTTTTGTAATATTGCTGACTTTCTAGTAATGCAAACCAGCTGAGGCTGCACTCCTTGGTTCTGTGGACCATGTGATACAGAAGAGCCTCCTTAGCATCTCTACTGCATTGAGACCCTTTTTGACAGTTTTAAGAGTTTAAGTGACATTTTAAGGTCTGTGAGAAGCTAGTAAGAGAGGAGACCAGAGAAACAGGACTGAGGTGTTTGGGGACTGTAGGAACCTGTGTAAATCCATTCAGAATGTTTCCAAATTGTTGGTTGGAAAGTCACCCACTTGAGACCGGCTGAAGATTGAGCCATAGGAAAAACTGGATTAACAGGAACAATTTCATCAAATGTAGAAATCTGATCCAAAGAAAGAAAAGTTCAGAAACTAGTGGCTGCCCCAGCCTCCATCTGCCCAGGAGCTTCACGTGTGCTGCTTTGTCTTCAGTTCACAACAGATGCGTGAGGGCATTTTGCTGTGTTATTGCAGAACAGTCAGTTATAGAAGAGTACGAGCGAAGTCTGCAGTTTGATGAAGAATGTCTCAACGCGATGCTTGATGGCTTGGATGCCAGCGACAAGGTCATCTGCCCGGTGTGTAGAAAGTAAGAAAGCCCTTGGCATCGGAATGAGGTTCTCCACTCCCCTACAGCAGTTCGGGCTTAGAAACAGGCAAAGGCAGTGAGCAAACAGGCTGCTGTTAGTGTTAATTTCAACAAAATTAAAAAAACCTGAGATTTTAAAAAAAATCTCCTGAATCTAAGAGTCGTTTTGCTAAAACTACCTTTGTTCTGGTTGTTGTGGTGATGGTCATTGTATGCTCTTTCTAGAAATAACCTGACTGTGAGGAATCACTTGGTTTTTTGCCAGTGTGGATTATACATCAGCACGCAGGTAAGCTGCGCTGAGTAACGTGTTAAATGTGACACCTTAAGTCTGCTGCTGCAAAGAGGCAGTTTTAAGCTACAGACAGCAACTTAAGTGTAAGATTTCTTTTAACCCGATTTTTCTCAGGGTATGACAGAAGGGAAGCTTCGGTCGCTTCTAGAAAACAGTGTAACAGAGCACAGCCTGAGGTGCTTTCACAACCCGGAGTTCACAGTTACCAGCGGAATGGAGGAAGAAGCCAGTCTTCTCATGAGCTGCCCGGTGAGTCTACATGTCCTGGAAAGGATCTCTGCTTGAGTCCACTTCTCAATTACGTGGGCAGAAACCACAAGTCCACGGATCCCGGGGGTTTGCATTGCTGTTTTTTCACAAATTTCCTTGGAAATGGTTTTACTTTTGCCCACCAGTAACTGTAAAAGGAAGAGCCAAATTACACAATGTACCTTAACTGCTGGGTTAGGGAATCTTTCAAGGACCTGCCAAACTCAGTGCCTTACCTTTCTCACACCTTAGCCAACAATTTCCAAGTTTTGTGTGGAGCATCTGTTCAGGTAAGTGGTTCATGAAGAAAAGTTTTAAAAATTACTTCAGTTTAAGCCTCCTCAAAAGGCTTATCCATACCTCTTAGAAAACACACACCATCCCTTTGGCTCAAGCTAGAGCTAGCAAGTTTTTAGCTTTGCTGCTTACGTAAAGCCACTGCGTGTACCTACACGGTAAGGACAGTGTTAGGAGCAGAGCATTTAAAACGGTTTTGAACACTAATAATTAATTTTATACGTTGCTATAGCTTCTCTGTTCAACTTACCTTCTGTAAAGGTCTGCAACTCCTGGACGATTCTCCTGTAAGTTGGTTCGGCTGCTGCTTTTACTGAAAGGACTTCAAGACAGAGCTGCTAGTATTTTTATGTATATACTTGTAACTGCTGTGTCAAAAAGATACTTAAAAAGGCAGTAATACTGCCTTGACCTGCACTTTTGATGGCACAGTGTATGTTTTGAAATAAATACACTTCATTTATTTTAGCCTTTGTGTTGTCTTTAACAATGTCTCAGTGATCTCACAGCTCACACTAGACTTCAGCTTTGGTTTCTGTTTAAACTTAAGATGACCTTCAGATAACAACTGGAGACACTGGTTTGAGCAGAAGACCGCAGCTGCTGCCCTGCAGCAGTGCCATCTACATCAGCATCCACGGCCTTTCAGTCGTTCTGTTGGAACTGAAGTGCTACAGCCTCCCTGCAGTATTTCTCTAAAACAGCTACATTAATACTAATATAATAATTATGGCAGCACATCCCTTTTTAAAACAGCTCGTCAAATAAACGTTTATATTCCCTAACACATAGACAGACAGCCAAGACTTCTAGAATGAGATTCACATTCATAATTAGCGGTGCTTAGCCAGCAAATGTCCTCCTACAGACACAACTCTGGCAGAAGGGCGCACTGCATGTTTGGAGGTGAAAACTCTGGGCCAGCACACACCATCGCTGCAGCAACAGCCCTGCGGGCAGCTGTATTAACACTGGCTCAGGCTCAAACACTAGCGTCATTTTCCTGGCAGCTCTCTGGTCAGCAATGGTACAGCAGGAAGAAGAGAAACCACCAGTTTTCAGCGATATGTTGAACAGATTTTATTCTTCACATTCATTCTTAATTGTACAAAAACCACCAAGTAGGGTGAGACAATTCCGGACCATAATGTTAGAGAACTTGATCTGGGCTGCAACATAAATACAAATCCCCAAATACAAGCAAGAATCCTCATTCTCTCATGATGTTCACTTCCAAATTCAAAGTTACTTAATCTCCGAATCTGTTGTGAAGATACATTTGGGTATTGCTAGCTGAGCAGTGCTGTGGAATACCCACACTTGAAGAGAAGTTTCCTAGCCTAACCTACTGACATTTGACAAAGCTTTTAAGGTCTTCAAGGAATTTAATGTACTCCTGGTGCTCCAGTGCGGTGCTGAGCTCTATTAACTCATCAGCAAACGTGTTGTCCACTCCTCGATCAGCCAGGAAATCCATTAAATGATCGTACAGAGCCTGGAAGCAATGAACAGGAAACTTCCTTAGCAGAGCACACCTGGGTAGGGGTTGCTTTTAAAACGTCCCATGGCAGCTGGCATTTCTTTGTCCCAGGAAGACCCGGCCTGCATCCTGCAGGAGACCAGGTGGCTCCCCAGCCCCTCCTCAGCCGGCCTGGCCTTGGGTGTATCAGTTGGAGGGAAGGGGCCATGAACAGGTCACCCAAACTCGGTCATATAAACCCAAACCCGGCGTTACAAACGAGCTCCGCTCTGGAGATGATCAACCGACTGCAGGAGTCAGCAAGTAAAGTCTGTCAAAGATTACACATGCCAAGCTCTGCCTGCCCACCTATATAGTGCTATGGCCTTGGAGGTAAATTGCTTTAACAGTGTCTGGAAAAGGTGGTATCTGATGTAAATACTTATTTCAGAGACTAAATCTTTTAAAATTATCAACTCTTTTTCTTCTTCTTTTTAATCCTACTTAACTGTTGCAACTCCAGCATATGTTAATGGCCGTGGGTTCCCCTCTCGTTCCTCAGGAGAACAGATTCATTATTACTGCTTAGTGCAGTAATGCTAATACCTGTCATGCCTTTCTTGGTGTTTTTTGTTTTGTTTTGGTTTGGTTTTAAGCAGAGCAATATTACTGAGCAAATGATTAATTTTGGACTTCTGTAATCTGAATAGATCACAAATTTCTAACATGAATGCTTCCCAAAGAGAGAGACACTCTAGGAGTAAAGTTTTAATCATATGATACACAGCCTCCAACTAAGACTTAACCTTCTGAAAGCCTGGCATTGAGAATGTATAAGCAGATGCCAGATTCTTGGGCACATTAGTTTTTAGTGTCACAACTATAAAAACATACCTGGAAAACCCAGAAAACAAAGGCATCTACACGTATCTGATAAGGTACGTTGTTAAACACATCAGAAGATGTTTGAGCAAGCATCAAAGCATCTCTGAAGTGTAATATAGCTGCTAGGAAATCAACCTATAAAGCCTGGAACAGAGCAAGTTTCAACACGTCTGTCTCTGCCAGTAATGCCACCAGCACTGCACAGCTGCTGGGACCGCGTACCAATCCTGTTTGCAGCAGAACCACTATCTCATGGGGCAGAGCAGGGGAATCCTGTCTCAGACATCCGGGACAGGACTCACTCACAGCTCAGGAGCAAAGGGGCACCAGGCGAGATACGCTGAAATGCCCTCTGCAGCCTACGGCCGTGTTAGCAGCACTTACCCAGTCAAGGGAATCCGTGTTGAGGGTGTAGTTGGTGTCTTTCCAATCCGATTCTCCAGTGGGCTGAAAACTGACCTCCCGAATTGTGAAAATATCGCTTTCTTCCTCTCCCTCATGTCCAACCTGGAACAGGAAATGATATGCAAGACGTACAATTAGCTCTAATTACTGGGCACCTTCAGCCATCTCATCCCAAAGCCAGGAATATTGCACTGCAGGCAAAACCCCAAGACCGTACTAAAGCTGTGCCTCTCCCTGTGAAGACAAGCACAGACACTCACGCAGGAAATCCCCTCAGAGGTCAGCGTACCAGCTCATGCTGCCAGAAGCAACCTGATGTAAGTCAGCAGCCTGATTTTTACAAAGACGTAAAAACCTCTTCTATGTGGTTCTAAATCTGTCTTCGCACGTCTGTCTAACCTTTATCAGCTAGGACTAGCTGCATAAATGATCTGTTAAGGTTTACAAAATAAACCACAAGGATCAGTGTGAACCAAAGCTCTCAATTTTATGTTCTTCCCCCCCTTTTTTTAATCCCTACTTCTCTTTGAAACACCTCACAACAATGAGATTTGCAAGTTACTGACGCACGGTATTAAATCTATCTTGTTTTGGCCATTCTTATGTACCCCTCTCAAGCTGCCATGCTGTTGAAGTTAAGCCATGCCTCCCTTCTCTAATGTAATTCAATAAACTGGCCAATAAGCAGCTGATCAGAAACGCCAGGTCAGGATGTGAGGAATGCAATGGAACACCTCCTCCCCAAAGAGTGTTCTTGCAAACACAACCCCCCCTTTTTTTTTGTGTGTTAAAAGAAGAGAGATAAGAGGAGACTGCATTTTTTGCAGAAAACCAACAGACTACAAAGAGCAGTTAGATTCAACAGCGGCACAATTACACGACAGTCAAGCAGGAAATGCACAGTGAGTCACAGCCCAGAGCTGGCTCCGGCTGACACACGACCAGTTTGATACCCACCTCGTCTTCGGGATAATGGCAGTCAAGAACAAGGGTCTGCTTTGTATCATCTTTTATTACTTCCACAACGAAGTTTGGAGTTGATGTAAGATCAGGCTAAACAAGAGAAAAGTTGCATCAGCACTGGAGTCTGAACAGAAGCCAAGATGATGACAGTACAGCCCAGCAACACAGCCCATCCAGTGCAGGTTGTTCCCTGTCACCCTCTTTTTGGAGTCTCTGACCTGGCCAGGGCAACCCAAACCTTCCCCAGTCTCGCCAGTGGCCCTTCAGCCCCTCTGCTCTGTGCTGGTCACGGGGGTAAAATGGCAGCTGGGAGTATCTGCCACCCCCTGACAACCCAGGGAGCCTGCAGCTCACCTGGATGGGTCCCTCCAAAGTGACAGGAACAGGGAACAAACTCAGATCGTTTTGACAGCAGGAGCTGCTCGTGCCTGCCCTCCTTCGTGGGGGAAACTTCGCAGGGCACACAGACTGCCAAACACACGCACACGTGCACGGATCAAGTGCACTGCGTCTTCTCAGCGCATACAGGCACGCCCGGGAAGGGAAGCAACGCACAAGTGTCCCCAGTATTGTCCCACCCAGCTGAGTGCAATGCGCTGGAATAAATACTACCACGCAGAAAGTGCAAGTTAACTGCTACAAAGGGAGCAGCTGCATTCCTGGCTCGTTCAGCACCAGTGTCACTGCAGATGAAGCCATCTGCCTCAAATTATATTGCTCATTTAGAGTTTTTACTGGTATTTTTACTAACAGTCTTATTAAACAGTAGCGAGACACTTTTGACCAACACCACCACAGAAGCGAAGTCATGGGTTTGCATTTCGTTGACATTGCCTACCAGCACCACGAGTTACGCTGGCGAAGTACAAAAGGCAGTATTTATTGCAGGGGGTTGGCAAAGGCAAGAGAGATTCGAGAGTTCCTCTCGTTTCTCCTCGTAGAGCCCCCTCACCCCTTTCTGCTGCAGAGAGGAGGGTCACAGCCAAGTGACAGCCAACCCAGAAAATCTGCATTTTGTGACTTAATGCTCCCAAATATCAAGTGAGAGGGGAAAAAGAAACCTTAACACTTAAAGGCAAGGTTCTAACTTCCCTCTGTGTACTCATCACTGAAGTGCACATCAAGACTAAGTTACCTCCTGCTCATCAGGTTTCTGCTCTTCTTGTGTTTCATCATCAGCCGAGGGTGGAATGCTGTTATTGATGTTGAATGTGACTGTTATCCTTCAAAAGAAACAGAAACAGTTACTCTGAACACGCTCAAAAAATAACCAACAAAATTTCTTCTGTTTGAAGCCTTTCTTGTGGGGACAGCGTTACTGGTGTTCAAATCACACGCCGTGAACAAAACTAGGTATTGCAGCTAAAATTTAAGACACACCCCTGAATAAAGCTGGCTTCCCTTCACAAGCAACCATTTTTCAAGTTTTACTGCACTGAATTGTTATTTTTAATGCAGGAAGACTGCGCGAAACTTTGTAACGCACAATACAGTAGCAAACTTGTGTTAAAAAAAAAAAGAAGTGCCTTTGACCCAAGGTGGTAAAATACAGAGCCTCTGCAACATCTAGTGCGCATAGACCGGACAGATGGCAATCGAAGCCACGCGAGCACAAGGAGAACTCTGGCTACTGTGACCTACGGGCCCCCTCGGGTTCGGGGCTCCCCCGAGGAACCCTCCCGAAGACCACACACTTACTTCTCCCCCGCTACCTTCCGCACCAGCCTGGCCTCCGTCCCGTGGACTTCCAGCTCCCACCC